CCCCCCCCCCCGAGAAAGAGAGAAAAGGCATTCAGAAAGACGCATCTAATTATACACAGACCCCAGAAACAGCAATAAAAATAGCTTTTAGTACTGCTCCAAGTGCTCCACGAAAATACACACGGTCACAATATAATATAATATCCCACTGGCATTAGCCAACTCTGGTATGTAGCAACTTGATGTAAGTAGCATCGAGATTTTGCTAACTAGCTTAGCTTGCTTTCACAGAACACATCTTGTTTAGCGTGAAGTTTTTAATTAAACACCTCGTAACAACCATCTACATAAGAGTCTACCATAATCGTTTTATCATCAAGTATAACTTGGGGAGTCATCGTATTCAGCCTCTTAGTAGTTTGACAACGTTTACTTCAGCCTTCCTCCTCTTCCTCCATTCCAGAAACTTTTTGAACTTCTCACAACTGAAGCTAAGCTATGTTAGCTGTTAGCCAAGCTCTCCGAGGGGAACGGAGCGCCGAGCCTCTCTGTGTCCTGCTGATGTAGCTCCCTGGAGTTCAAGTCTACTCTCTTATTTCAACCGTTAAATAACCACATACCTTTCAACAACGCGTGCGAGTCATGACAGTGATCTGTCTTGCAAACATTTAGCCCGTAATCCCAACTTTTATATAAATTTCTTTCGTTTTCAGAGCCCCTTCGTTCCGTCTCTCCGTGCCATGTCCTCCAGATCCTGGAGTGAAATCGTCTGGGAAGGCGGAGTAAATATCGCTCCGCTGTCCTAACAAACTAGTGCTCGCTTTGGCGTTAAGGTCCGTGAGGATTTAGTTCCTTACTGCAAAGACACTAAACATTAACACTAGTTTTAAACAGCTTTTAATGTACTACTAAGCATGACCCACAATCGCTTACTTTTCAAAAAAAAAAAAAAATCAGGTCACTTTTCTCGAGTATAGGTCAGATTGTTCAAAGTGAGCTAACTTTTCTCCATCTTGACATTTGCGACCCGAATATCGAAAATATAACGTTAATGATACGCCGGCAGCTAAAAACGTATAAGAAATGAAAGTGAAACTCTTTCATTTATTCTTTTCTGCTTTTGATGTTTAAGTGATTGAAGCTGGACGTCTTACGGTGGTCGTGCTGCGGCTCTGGAACGTCTCACAAGTTGCTGGCTCCACTCAGTCTGGAGGGCTGCGGTTTGTTGTGTATTGTTGTCCTTTGTAGTCACTTGTTCGACACTTCGCCAGCCCTCGCGATGTTAACCCTTTGAACTTGAGGAATCAAAACAGAACTAAATATTCCACGACGATTCCCGTAGAGGAACCGCTACTTTCTCACAGGACAGTGTCGAAGCTGCGGATTCTTCATTCAGTCTGCGGACTCCGAATGAAATGCAGTGCGCGTGCTCTGCCACTAGCGAGCACCCGACAACCTCACGAGGAATATCACAGCCTACTGGTTTGCTTTATAAAGTGGGATTCTCGCGATTCCTTCCTCCCATCCCATTGGGATAGCCACTTCAACAAAGAAGTGTTCAAGTGAGTTAACCAGACCTACAGCATTTACAAATAAGAACATAAGATATATGTATTTTTTAAAAGTGGATTAATACTTTTCTACACAAACTAAAATAACTTGATCGTTTGCTGATTGTCAGGCTGAGCTTTAATAGGAAACCAACCACAGTAGTTTCTGAGTTTTTTTTTTTTATAAGACTCAACAGTGAGCATCAGTGACCTTCAGTGGGCCAGCGTGGGCAGCCAAGTCTGAAGTCACCTGTCTATGAGTTGTATCAAAGTGTTAGCAGTGGGTTTGGGGACCACTTTATTTTGTTGCTGACATCACTGCTCTCAGACAAAACACAACATGCTACATACCATCCAGACAAGATTACAGGCTGCCCATAAGAATCCGTCATGCATTGACTCTGTAATCCTTTGCATGAGGAAAAATGACACATTCCTTCCTCCTCCGGGCTCTGTAAACGTGTCCCTTCTGGCTGTAAGTTATGTGTTCAAACGTGACCAGTGGAACTATCATATTTGTTTTTATAACAAATGGTAACCCCACTGTCGAACGGTTGCCGCAATGCAGCTTGGAGTTTACTAATGATTATTAATTAAATATTCACAGTGGATGGTGACGTGAGCTCAGTCTGGAAATCACACTTACACTTAAGCTTGTGTATCAAAATGCAAGATATTCAAGAATCAAATGCATTATTCTTATGTATGTATTCCCTTAATGCTTTCAAGGCAACTTCTATGGGGAAATTCCACCTGCAAATCATCATTGTGTAATGCTATTGATGCTTTGCAGGAGAAAAACTACTACTGACACTATTACAGTTCATGTCATTCAGGTGTACAAAGCTTTCCTTTTTCTATTAAAGGGGATATATTCAGTTTTATTCCATTTTCTTATAAATATACACTTTTCAGAGATTTTGGTCCATACTGGCATATTGACATCAAAGTTAGTGGTGATTGACTGCCTGCACGTTTATGACTAGAAGCTCCCGTTCTGTTACATCCCAAAGGTGCTCTACTGGAAAGTGTTCTGGTGACTGTGGAGGCCATTTGAGCACAGTGTCACATTGTCATCTGAAACCAGATTTGAGTTTTGTGACATGATGCACTGTCCTACTGGAAGGAGCCATCAGAAGATGGGTACACTGTGGTCATAAAGGAATGAATATGGTCAGGAACTATACTCGGGTACGTTGTACCACCTCACGGCAAAAAGTGTGTCAAGAAAGTATCCTCCACACCATTAGACCCACCAGTCTGAAGCGTTGATACGAGGCAGGATGGATCCGTGATTTTGTGTAGTTTCATGTAGTTGGCATCTGAACTTGCCATCCAAATATTACAGCAGAAATTGTGACTCATCAGACCAGGCAACATCTATTGTCCAATTTAGCGAGACTGTGTGAATTATAATCTCAGTTCCTTGTTCCTAGGTGACAGGAGTAGCACCAGTTGTGGTCTTCTGCTGCTGTAGCCCATCTGCTTCAAAGCTGGAAATGTTGTGTGTTCAGAGATGCTCTTTTGTATACCTTGGTGGTAATTTGAGTTGCTGGCCATTCTCCTCTGATGTCAACAAGACATTTTCACCCAGAGAACTGCTGCTCACTGGATTTTCCCAGCAGTTTCTGAAATACTCAGAGCAGCCCATGTGGCACCAACAATGATGGCATGTTCAAACACTTTTTTCTTCCCTGTTCTGATGTTCCATTTGAACTTCAGAAGGTTCTCTTGACCATGTTTGACTATGATGGTCTATTAGACATGGTCAAAGCTTGAAACAATTAGGTCAGATTAAATTGAAGTATTCCCTTCAAGGCAAAGGCTTCAGACAGTTTTTCAGCCCTTTGTGATGTAATAGAGAGATGTTCCCAATGGTGCGGTCACGCCAAGCAAAGTTTTAGCTTGGCGTGACTATATGAAAAAATCTATACAATGAGGCAAACTGAAATAAATTTGCACAGCTGTTGGCCATACAGGTAACTCTAGGATAGCACAAGTTAAAACACATTTAGCTCTGGTGAAAAATTCTCTCTAGCCTGTGTTACGAAAAACCATCAGCTGGGATTTTCCTATGGGCCGCAGATTCTCTTCTGATGCCACCAACAGCCAAAATGTCACTGTAACTAGACAGTTACCAGTTGTACTCCCTTCTTGTCCTGGTGGCTGTCAGGGGAAAATATTTTCAGGTTTCCAACAAAGCAGACTTCACAGGAGCAATTAAACCTAAACTTTGCTTTGCAGTTGGTGCGAGTGCTGTTTAAACCTTTTTGTGAGGGGCAGCCAATCATAAGAAAGCAGGCTTGTGATAGCAGCTAAACTGATGGGCTACACCAACTGAAATAATGATGATTTTTTTTGAAACTGGGAATCATGCAAAGTCATTCTAGTAGTCTCCAATCAATAGATAAAAATAAATAAATAAATGGAGCACAATAGATCAGCCTCATGGACAGACAGGAGATTACAGATATACAGGTTGTATTTTTCTTATCAATAGGAAGTCTCACTGTTCAGTTAACTGGCTTTCCACTCCTTTTGTGGTTATAAAAACTTTTGTAGTTTTTGCTAAGCCATCATCCGTGTGGTTCACTCACAGGTCAGCTGCCAGTGCAAGCAGTTTGATTGACAGGTGATCAAACAGGTTAAGTATACACTGTTCAGGTAGTATGCATTTGTTCAATATCTGTGGGTGATGAGCCAGTCTTTTGAACTGAACAAGCATGTAGTGTTGACATAGTTTTGAGCTGAACCCTTATGTGTCACACTGTTCTCTTTGACTGTCTGCCTATTCTGCCCGTCACAGTCAGCTACACAAATCCTCTTCCACCTTCTTCAAAAATAAAACTGCACAATGCATCACTTCCTGTTCAAAGGTTTTTTGTTTTTTGTTTTAAACACCAAGCCAACGTCAGGCACATCGTGTTCAGAACAGCAAGTGAGTAACATATTCATGAACTGACGGGAAGCTGAATCACAGCAGTGTTTGAAAACACACAGCAGTAAACTTGGTGGTCGGCCTCAAGACACCAAGGCGATTTTTGATTGGTTGGAGAAATCAACCCGTCTTGAATTTAGTCACTAGCAAGACGATTGAGATCTGAAGAGTCGGTTGCTGCAATATTAGGGAGCTAGAAAGAATGCCGCCTGCGGATTGCTGGGAGCAACCATTCAAGGAAAAAAAATAAATAAATACTGTGAAGCCATCACTATCATCAATTTCTCCATGCACATAGTAAAAATGCTAGGTTATGTTTCAGCCAGCTACTTCAAATTGCTCTTTTTAAATCTACTTTATTTTTTTTTAAAGAAAGTAAAACTCAGTTGTGCAATAAAGAGATACAAATACAGTCACCATAAAATGAGTAGGTTTATTCGTTGTTCGTCCTTAAATGGATACCAACTTTTATAAAATGATTTGCTGTTTTGTGGGTGAGTTTAGGTATCAATCAAGCCACTGATAGTGGTGGCTAAACAGTGCAGCATTAAAGAGAGACAAAGCCCCAATCCAGGTCTTATGGTACATCCATTCAGCCTCCATGTACGGTCTATGTTAAAGGGGATCTTTTATGCTTTTATATGCATGTGTTGCAAATAACGAGGCCATCTGTGCAGGTAATCACTATGAACCAAAAACTTCAGTGCTCTAAATGTTACAAATGCACAATGCTATTGTACAGGATGTATCAAAAAGAATAATCCCATTTTAAAGTGCTTTCATTCGATGTTCACAGGAAACAATCTAAACATGTACCATTTAGAAAGAGGGCATTCGTGAGTTTCACTTGGTTCCTGGTTGGTAGCATAACAACAGCAGTGGCTGCAGACATACCCACAAAAGTAGGGGGCAAGTTTGACTTTCTTATGGATATAAAGTGTGTGTCAGGTGTAGGGATGCATTGAGCAGTTGTGAGCATTGTGTGATAAATTTTACATTCAGCCATGCACTTTAAAGATTTAATTTTCTTCATGTCCTTTACTTTTAAAAATATAGCTTTTGGAAATCAGATGACTCTTTTGATACACCCTGTTCTCTTAATTATGTATAATGTCAGAAGTGGATCGCCCTAATATGGTTAGGTCATTTAAACAGATCTGGCCGACACACTGTTCAAATCTTCCATTTATGAGAGTCAGCCAATCAGAAGATAGTGTGCTTAATGAGACAGCGGCCTTAAAGGGGGAGTGCAAAAGTAAAAATTTAGAGCATAAAAGGTCCCCTTTAAATTTTGCAAACTATTTCCGTGTAGCCTCTCACTTACTACTTTGGTTTGTACTTTTGATTTTTTTTTTTGCCAGAAACATTTAAACATTCTGCCAGAGTCAAGATTACTTTAAAAATTACAGATTACACACTCAGTTGGTCTGTAGTTAATGTACCTGAAGCTCGGGACTTTCTTTCCCCTCCATGATTTTATTTTGTCCCTTTATACTCAGAGTGACAAAGAAGTTTTGTTCTTTTTAAAGAGAAATTTACAGTGATGAGTCAAATATGCTATACTCACAGCAAAACATAACACTGGGGAAACAAAAGGAAACAATATATTATACCACACTCAAATATTAGGAAGAAAAATTAACCAGTGTCTCGTGTACACACTTTGACAGCAGTGCAAGTCAGTGGATCGGGTTCATTTTGGTAAAATCTTCTAAGATCTGAATCGACAAAAATCAACACATTGCAGGTGCACGCAGTAGGCAGATTTAAACTAATTAAAATTGATTAATGTGAAAAGCTAGTGTCCCGACTCCAGTTCAACAACATGTGACAGGTTAAGATAAGAAGAAAAAGTAACGAAGAAGAATTAAAAGCCCCTTCCTTAATCAAAGCAGCACTGGATCACCGACGCTAACACCACAGTCACGTTTTTAGGTTTGATCTTTTTAGTTCAATTTCAAAATATTGCTTTCAACGATTTCCTCTCAGATATCACTAAAAAGTTAGTTAAACACTCGGAACTGATTTGTCTCCTCCAGTAGGTTTAGGTGAAGGATGCCTCCTGTTATACTCTGTAATGATTTCACTGTGCTTCAGAGCAAATATTCACACGATACTTGAAAAAGCCTGAATGTTGTTACAGTTTGAGAAGTTTTTTTCTGTATTTGATCAGCATCATGACACAGTTTCATATGGAGGCTCGCAATTACAAGAAAGGAGGCTTATGACTTCAGCTGAGGGTCACCGCCATGAGCTCAGCTTTTTGTCAGAGTGCATGCACTGACTTCATATTGTGCGTGCCTTTTTTTTGTGAGCGCTCATGGCTGACATGCAGTGTTCACCTGTGCTGTCTCGTATAGCTTGCTCCACTGATTCACTGAGAGATGGTTTAATTTTTCCTTCAGCAACCTTCCAGTGGAATTCACCTCCCGATCATGCATCAAAGTAAAGAACAGACGGATTTTCTTTTTCCCCTAATTTAAACTGCTTTTGTGCTTCTGTGGACTTTTTCTCTCTACATGTAAAGAGATCCAAGAGTAAACCAGCCTTTTCCCCACTGAGGTGCTGAGTGAGGTGTTGGCCTCAGCACTGCACTTGGTCCCCAGGTACTGTTTGACTGTTCGCTGCTGCTAAATAGTCAGCATAGGTCAAATGCAAAGAACAAATTAGCCCGCTGGGATTTTAAAAGTACCTAAGTGATCCAGAATGACTACTTTACCCACAAACTGTGAAAAATCTACACATTGGTCATTTTTCACTCCAATGTGTAGATTTTCCTTCACAATTACTTCACTCACAAGCACTGAAATGTGTCTAGTTACACCAGTCAGTATACTCGAGGGTCAATCTGCTAATATAATAACATTTCACGCCCGGTTGGTTGGTGATAAATTGGTTTGTATACGATCACCTGGGTGCGTTAGATAAAAAGCACTTGTTGTACAATGTGTAAGACGGTCGTGGATACAAATGATCAGTTACAATTCATTAAATGGTCGTTTAGCAAATGAAGGCACTGAAAAAATGAGTCTGATAAACGTCACCACACTGTTCTGTAGTGCAGAGGTACATACATGTTCCTGCAGCATCACAGTTTCATGACAGTACGAAGAGCATGTAAGGAACGACATTTCCACTTCATGAGGCAAAAAAGCTGGTGAGCCTTGACGTGAGGAGGCGGGCCGCCAATGTCTCCTTTGGTGTTGGACACTATCTGTCTTGGTTGTCTGACCTGAGGCCGCAGTCCGAGGAGTCCTCAGAGGGAGTGTCTAGGACAGGATTGACAAACCCTTCGAATTCTGCAGTGTCCTCTGGGTGGGTGCTCACAAAATCATTCTCCCACTCCAGTGCGGTGGAGTCCTCGGAGGCTGAGGTCGGCCCGCTGTTCATTTGCTTGCCGCCTGGCCTCAGGGCTGCGCGCAAGATGTCCTCCTCTGTTCGAGACCTCTCCCACACTGGAAGCGCGCGATTCATTCCTACAATGCAGAGACATGAGGTTTGATTCTGACAGAAGAGCAGTAACTGATGTCAAACAGCAGAAGGTCCACGGTGGAAGTCACAAACCGTATATATTACATAAGTGTGTTGCCTTGAAACGTACACAGGAAAAGACTGGATATAAATGACAGATGTAGCAGCAGAGAAATGAAAACAAAAGAGCAAAATATGTTTTCAAATAAATTAAAATACTCTTGGAATTCTATGAAAAAGAGGGCTCATCACATCATCACTATCCTAATCAAACTTTTCAACTTCAGTCAGAATGTTCTTACCTTCCTCATCCTCCCACTCCAGATCTAGTGAGGTACCGTCATCGTTGGTGGAGCGGGTCTTGGTGGTGAAATCCCAGCTGCACTCTGTGTTTGGAGTCACCACATTTGTGTCAGACGGGAGTCCTGGGAACAAACAGAAAGCATGTAAACCTGACCTCTCATGAATATATACTCGCAATGTACAACAAAATGATTATCTTCTCGATGCCAATACAGCCGGCAGTCGGTTTTTGTAGTTTTCAACAAGTTGCAGAGGTCCTCAGAGCAACCGCAGCTCATTCTTCTTTGGCAAATCTCTCAAGATCCTCCAGATTTGATGGTCTTCTAGCGTGGACCCTGGTGTTCAGTTCAACTGACAGATTTTTAAGGCAATGCTTTTGTGCAGCCCAGTCAGTAACGTTCACTTACTGACTGGCTCACTGGAGGTAGTTCTTCACCAGGAGCGACACACGTTTTGGGTCGTTGTTGTGTTTGAAGATAAAGAGACGACCCAGACCCAGGTTTGTTTCTGACTACTCGAAGTTTTCTTTTAAAATCTTCACGTATCCTCCTTTCTTCATAATCCTCCCACCACCGTGTTCCCCTGTGGGGACAGTGTCCTCTGAGTTGTAGAACTCTCACTTTTTTCTCTAAATATCAGCAAAGTGTCTGCAGCTAAAGGTCTGTAGTTTTATCTCCTCTGACCAAAGGACGCTCTTCTAGTGTGGATTATTTGTCTCCAGGTCGTTCTTAGCACACCTCAGTCTGGCTTGAAGGCGTTTCTTCTGCAGAAGTTTTTCCTGGTCTCTAACCTCGCAGCTCATTCCTGTGTAGGTCTATAGTGATTGTCTCCTTCAGACTACAATTTCAAACTTGACTAAGTCATTCACGGGTGTATTGGCAGTTGTTCTCTCACCATTTTTCTTTCTAGAGTCTTTTGCTTCCCACCACTGCCAGGCGTGTTCTGTGTTGTGTGTTTGTCTTTTTACATTTCTTGATGATACTCCCCACACCAGTTCTTGACACTTGGAAACACTGTGAACTTTGTATATCGTTCTTCTGTTTTCTTTCTTTCTTCTTCTGCCAATTCTCTCTAAGCTGATTTGTTTTGTAGGCTTTTTTTTGTATGATGCTTTCTCAAGTAACAGCTTGAACCCTCCATCGGGTTTTTATACTGTGTATAAATCGAAGCTAGCGCTCAGTTTTAACTTAATTTTACAAGATTTGAGCATTAAAGTCACAAATAAGGCAGAATAACAAGGTCACAACCCCGGTCACTTTTGTTTTTCTGAAATATTTCGTACATTGTGTGCAAACAGAAATAACTAATGCTTTCTAAAGAAAACTAGTATGTTTAGATACACTATGTTTCTCTGCTCTGTTTTTTTTTTTTTTTTTTTTTAAAAAAAGCACCTGGGAAGAGGTTGACAAAAGCCTTAAATTTCATATAAATGGTTCACTCACTGTTGCTCCTGAAAGCTTCAGACTGGGCTTTAACATTTTGGAGGTAGGCATCAAAATCTTCCCCAGAGGTTTGTCTGAAACCAAAGAGAATAAGACGTGTTTAGCAGCAGTAAAGCACAGGAATCCCTCCAGTCCAGCGTACTTTCATTATTTCTGCTGCTTTCATGTGCAGTGAAAACAAATGAAGACGGACTGGACAGCTTGGAGCACTAAAATCTGCTTTGCAGTCTACACACTGCCTGGCTGCAGCAGCAAATTTAATGTGCACTTCATTACACAGATGTGTGTTTTGAACCTCCACAAAAAAACAAAAAAGACATGGTATAAGACTTTTCCAGGCAAATTCAGCCATAAATGTTAGTGACTAAACAGTCGATTAGCCAGAGGCTGCAAATTCTGGTTTTCCAGTCTTTCTTCAACAAACACACCGTTACTTAAATCCTCCTGCAGAGTCCCATGACCCGAGTTTGTCCTCAGCTCAACAACTACGCCGTTGTCTAATGAACTTAACTGACTCACTTTCTTTGCTGGGTTTCACCGCCGGAGCCATCTGCTTTCCCCCGTGTCCTCTGGGCAGACAGCTGTTGACAAAGACACCACAGATCGAGTAAAAAGATAATCTCATTAGAAATTTCACAGGATTGAGATACACACTGGATTCATTTGAAAGCCTTTAACAATTTTGGCATTATCAAGGAAAAATGTGATCAGACATTTTTGAACAGATGAAGAAGAAAAACAAAAATAAGCAACACCAAAGGAGCAGTGGAATGTGACCACAGACAAATGGCAGTCCTGGTAGTTGTCCTTTTTTTTTGTTTAGATCATTGGTCCCCATTCCTTTTTGCACCACGGACCGGTTTATGTAAGGCAATATTTTTATGGACCGGCCTTTAAGGTGTTGCGGATAAATACAACAAAATAAAAACAGTAACGGTACCAAAAAAAAAAGAAGATTTATTCATACCACACGGGAAAAGACCCCAGGAAACCGAGTTAGCGATAAAAACCATAAATTTCCCACCCAAGCCTCTTAAGGCCCGGTACCAAACGACTCCCGGACCGGTACTGGTCCGTGGCCCGGGGGTTGGGGACCACTGCTTTAGATCACATGAGCAGAAGAGTACATATGAAACCACCATAGTGATGAAAATTCCTGCTTGATTATTGCTACATGCCAACAGTCTAGTTTCTCTTTGTAAAAATGTGCCTGCAGGGACTGTAATCACTGTAAATATCAGCCCTTTTATGGATCTTTTTTCCTATTTCCCTGCTTGACCTTAGAAATAAAGCCCATATCCAGATTTATATCCACTGGCACCTTTGCCTTTCTGCTGTAATGCAAATAAACTCCTCCTAGTTTGTTTTGCTTGCTTTGCCAACAAGGTTCCTGCACCATTTCAAAACCCAGCCTCAACTAATGACAAATAAGAGCAAACAATGCTGAAAAGATATGCTTGGACTTTGTTATACATGGAATAACTACTAGTTGCCATACTATTCAGCACGTCACTACCTCAAGAATTAAAAGCTTTTCATTGCTGCACATGAAAATAAAATGAACCTTTATTTACAGGTACAAAACACTGAAGTAAAAGTACAGAAGTACATCTGCTTCCAGCAACCTGAAGTGTGTCAGAGAAAACAACCTGATTCACACATGTACATTTCCTGTACAGGGTTTCTGCCTGACAACAGCTGACAGCAAGCCCCCACGGTCCCACCATTATTAAATGACCCCCACCCACCCAGCAACCAGAGAAAGCTCATTTATTTACTGCAGTTAGTAATTTTAGGTTTAGTCTTCTTGCTGCTACATTATATGTAGTTGAGATCTACTATGCAATAAATATATATATTTTTGGCAATTTTTCAACTTTTTCTACTCTAATGTATCTGGTTGTGCTAATTTCTCCCCCGGAGCCGTCAGACTCTTCAACACTCAGTAACTGGACTGACACACACACATCACTACCTCAAGCACTTATCCACACACACACACACACACACACACACACGCACACACACACACACACACACCTCAAGCTACTTTTTGCACAACCCATTGTCATTGTTGCACTTTTCTATTGCACAGTCTGTATCGCTCTGTTCTGTCTGGTGTTGCAGTGTCTTTGTTTTTTGCCATTTTGCACACTTTTCTTGGGCTCTTTATGTAGTCCTGTGTTGATTGTCTGTTATATGTCATATGTAGCGCCACGGTCTTGGAGGAACGTTGTCTCACTTCACTGTACCACTGCACTCAGTTGACATGATTATAAAGCCACTTGACTTGACTTGAAAAGGAGAAATGGCCACATTATGTTGTGACCTTAGTGCCCCCTAGTGTTTCACGCCCTGTAAATCCACGCAAAAGGATAACAACAAGTGGCAACTAAACTTACAGGCTTTTTTTTTTTTTTTCGTATGAGTCTTGAACAAGCCTTCTCCAAATTTAACAGCCGATCTGCAGCAAAGTTAGGGAAACATAAGACCTAGGTTTCCTTGGTTTTAATGTCAGATTCTTCAAGGATTTCATTGATCCACGGGAAATCAACAATCTCAAGCAAAGACAAACAGTATACTTCCATGAGCAGACAACAGTGATGAAGGCTGAACAGAGAAAGGTGGACTAGTGCAAAAATAATCACTGTGAGCTGAAATTAAGATTGGCTACTTCTTCTTTTCCTCCTGCCTGGCTACTCCATCTTCAACATCTTTTGTCCAAAACATCCACTGTCCCTCCTCTGCACATTTCCAAACCATCTCAGCCTTGCTCTCAGCCATCACAGCAGGTCTCACCACCTTGTAAAGATTCCCTTTCACTCTTGCTGCTATACGTCTGTCACAAATCACCTGACACTCATCTCTACCTGCTCCACCCTTCTTCACCTCTCATGTGCTTTGAATGGTTGACCCCAGGTATTAGAACTCATCCACCTTCACTTCCTCTGCTTCTTGCATTTTCAGCTTTGTATCTGCCTCCCTCTCATTCATAAACATGTATTCTGTCTCGCTTCATACCTCCACCTCTCCAGACTCTCTTCATAGATTACGATGCTATCTGCATTCCTACTGTGGTTATATCAAGGACACAAACCCCACCCACCAGTTCACAATAAGAAGTATTGAATTTAGGGGAAAGAGAGCCAGAAGGGCTTATTTCACTAAGGCCCAGTAAAAGACAAATATTGTGACTTATATAAACTTATTGTATTTCTGGTCAAGAAGAAAAATGGAGCTGGAAATGAGCATCATAGTCCCCTTTAAAAATACATAAAAAACCCCCAAAACAAAACAGAAAATTGAAATCCTGGGAGGTCTCTGCACAGAGGGGCCAGCAGCTTAGAGGAGGTGGAGGAGCTTTAGCCGAGCAGTAAGGTAAAGAAGGCAGCGCTCAGTACCGCCTCACCTCCTTCAATTTTCGTTCACGTGCCAGCCTGGCGGCCTCACGCTGGGCGGCATTTCTAGCCTCCTCTTCTAGCCTCAACTTCTCCTCTTGTGCCTCTAACTGAGCAGAAATAATGAAATGAAACAAACAAGGAAAAAATAAATAAATAAAAAAACAGAACAGAAAATTACAAAAACAGAAAAAACAATGCAGCAAATTAAAGGTAAGCCAACATAAGTTAAACACAAAATGAAACAATGAGGGCTGTTTAATCTGGACGTGGACAGGTGGCCTCACCTCGGCTCGCAGCTTTTGGTCTATAAGGATCTGTTTGTCTGAGATGGCAGCGTAGCGGTGCTCTTTAAGGTTCTTGATCTCATCATCACTGATGGGCCTGGTGGAAAAACAAGAACACATATTACTGTTTTTGTTTTCTTTTTTCATGCCAGAGATTATTAGCTTTTTCTTTACATCTGAGCAGGATCTCTTACCTCGGGCAGGGCTGGGGGCTCTCAGCCTACAATGCAACATACACAACATACTTTTTAGCAAATAGCTCTGAAATCCACTAAGAAATGCATCTACCCTGCTGCACTGACTCAAGAAGTGCTACTCTGGGACTGAGCGGAGAGTAATCGAGTTACTCTCTGGGAGGAAAAATGGATGACTCCCATATCGCAGGGATGGCCACATCGCATCGTTTTCTATCCATCATGAGCCGAGCACGGCAATAATGGACGGTCTGATCCAAGGAGCATAATCCAGTTTTTAATCAGAAAACAGCATTTTTTCACAGACTTATTTAGCTCATAAAATATAAACTTACCTCATCACTTTCTACCAGATTCTCAAACTGAAAAAATAAATAAATAAAAAGCACAGTTAGACTCATTGCATTAGCTTAAACAGTCATTCTTAAGAAAGGTTCAAATAAATAAATAATGTACACACCTCGATTGTGTAGTGCTCCCCTGTGGTGCTGCTGCGGAAGTATTTTGACCTGCAGGAAAAATGAAGAGAAAAAAATTAATTTCAGACAGCAGGGGTACCAAACATAAGGCCTGCGGACCAGAATCGGCTCACTTCCAAGTTCCAGTTTTTTTTCCACTATGTACTTTAAATTTTTATTTCTGACAAACTCAAAAAAACAAACATTTTTGTGAATTACTGCAAATTGTTCTGTTTTAGTTGCAATTACTACAATAACTTTATTTTCTTTAATTTTATAGATTTATTCAAAATTAAACATTTCTGTCATTTACTACAGCAGCATTTCGTTATCATGTAGAAAAACAGAGACATGCTAGACGAACTACTAAAACTGCAACTTTCTTCTTATATTAAATGGGATTAATTTAGTAGTTAAACACCTTTACACTGACAGAAAGGGCTGTTTCACTGGTTTGGCCCACGATGTAAAATTACTTTGACATCCCTGATCTAGAGTACAATGAATGAGACAAATATAAATTAGCTTCAGCACTTTTCACTTTCCTGTCTCTTCTTCTTATTGTTAAAAATATACACCAGGTCTATTCCTGATGCTTAATTTTCAAAATACAATTAAAATCTTCAAAATAAAAGGCCCACTGTAAACTAAATACTCACTAAATACTTGAAACCTCCTTGGTCTGATACAAAGCCTTGTGAAGGTCTTAAAATAATGCTAGGGACTCATTTGTGTGGTATTAATTTGATGTTTGAATCCACAATGCCGGAGTTATTGCATCATAAACCAGGAACAGTGGCTTCATAAAGGAAATGAACAAAAAAAAAAAAAAGAAGCAGCATGAACCTATAGCCAAATCTCAAAGCTCTACAGGCTGTTCCACCAGTTTCATGGAAGAAGTCTCAGGTGTATGTAGGTAAACAGATATTAGCATAAACAAAATCTATGAACTTTGTATTGTGAAATTTCCCACATAATTATTGATGCGTCACTGTCAGGCCTGTGAAATAGGAAACAGGTTGTTGAGTGTTGGCTGTACAGTTTGTGTTCAAATGTAGTCTGAATCCATTATTTTGTGTGACTTTTGGGTGCTGCTGAGTCACCACAGCAAGCAGCTCTACGTGTTTGATTTGGCAGAGCTGGATGGCCTTCCTGACCCAACCCACATAAGGACTTGAGGCTAGTTGAATGCTTTATGTGGAACAAACTGTACATGAGAAAGCTATATTACAAAGATGTAACTTCCACTAAAGCGGCCTGCTAAATGACATCTGTACAAGGAGCCCTGACAGCCTCACCTGCCCTGCATCAAATACCGCCAATTAACATTATTGATTTGATTAACCTTTAGGATTTACAACAGTCAAACCTAAGAGAGAAAAAAAAGCTGCTTTTTCCCTTCATTTTAATGACTGTATTATTTTGTTGACCGCATTTACATATTGGGGGATTTTCAGATACCTCACTGAAGAGGACACCTTTGTTGTAATGCCACTTTGGGCTAAGTTACAACTACTACTGTGGTACGAAGTGTTAGCGCTACTGTCAGCTCCATTATATAATTCTATGGATGAAAGTGTGAAAAGGCTTGTTGCTGGTAGAGTGAAAGCCTTCTCTCACCTTAACAAAGCACAAGGTAAAGTCAGACTAAAAAGCATCAATTATTTACATTCAACTGGGTGACACAACAGCCTGAAGCTAAGGCAAAAAACAGGCAATGAATCCCAGCAGCTAGCCAAGCAGCCAAACTGTCCATATATTAGTTTACATGATTGTGTGTGAGCTCTCCAGAAGCTCTGTCAGCTGTGCTGTCATTATCAGACCTTAGCTAAACTACAAGTCTACAGCTAAACTACAGGCTCCTGACACTAGGGGTGGGGTCTTGATTCCCACTGGCACTGGCTGACTGCAGGTACCGTACAGCTAGAGGCTAAACTAGCTGGCCCGTATCTCTGATTTACAACATCACCGTCTGTAATAACAGCATCCCTACACAGCTGCCCAAGTGCTCACAGGCAGACTGCCGTGTCAAACTACCGGCCAACCTTATCAGCAAGCAGATAACGCCGCTTCGGGTGATGCTTGCATGCTAGCTCAGGCAGCTAAAGCTCACAGTTGACTCACCCCCCTCCTCGCTGGATCCTGTTGGTTTCTCTCCTGAAGAGCCCCACACAGTATGCCCAGCAGTTACCCATCGCATTGTCAAATGTTCCTATGATCCGGCTGCCTATCGCCTGACAGCTGCTGGAGCATTAGCGTTGGCAGCTACATCTCCAAACGTACTCTTCTCGCTCCTGCCACTTCCTCATCCTCCTTTCTTCCTCTCCGGCTGGTGACAGAGCACAGATGAAAGTGAAACATCACCACCTGCTGTCCTCTACGTGAAGTTTTGTGAAGGGCCAAAATAAAATCCAAATAAAAAAATAAAGAAATAAAGAAATGACTCAGTGAGAAAATAAATGTGCTAGAAAATAATGCAAATAATATCTTACTATAATGATCATAGGGTATGTATTTTATGTTCTCCCACTCCTCCAAGATGTATCAATCAGTCTGAATCAAACCTACTTTATATAAACTGCAGAGGGTACCAGTATCATCAACATATATATAGCTTTTGGGAATATTTTTGATTCATTCATGATTCATTAATTTGTTTGCTATGCGTGAACAGACGTTTTTTTCATCTGGAAATATACAGTGGTATAATGGAGATTAAAAAATAGCATGAGAAATTTACACGTGTTTTCATACATGAGCGAAGCAATTAAATGTCACACACCTGGAAAAACCTACCAGTGTGGTAGTTTTTATATCTATCTATCTATCTATCTATCTATCTATCTATCTATCTATCTATCTATCTATCTATCTATCTATCTCTCTCTCTCTCTCTCTATATATATATATATATATATGTATATATATAATGTAGGTATTCACTTGACAAATTGTTTTTTTTTTAAAGGTTAACGTTGTGTTTATTGGCTAGAGTGAATAACTACTATTTTCTCCCATATTTTTAATAGCATTTATTGTATGTGGTCTCTATGTTCCCACCCAGCAATATGGGAGGCCCTTGCTGGGGGTCTCTTCCTGTTAAAAGGGAGCTCTTCCTTCCCACCACTGAAGTGCTGCTCATACGGGATTGTCCATGTGACATTAGCTTCAAACTCTAATATCACATGGTCTTCACATAAAGCACCTTTAAACAACTAGAAAAAGCATTTTCTAGAGAAAATGCAGCGTGAATGCAGAAAATGTAAGGCTTTTGCCTGAAATGCTTAAACATATTTGAAATATTCAAAGCTCAGCTTTCTGAATGATCTTAATTGCATAAGATTAGCAAAATATCAGCCAGTTTAAGAATAAAAGGCAACAAAACCAAAAAGTTTACCACAGTTAGATGGCTTTATTCTGCACTCCAACGCTAAATTTGTAGTATCTCAGCTCATATGACTTACTGACATGTCATGATTGTGGCATCTGTGTGATAATACATGATCACTCATCAGCTTGTGCGTCTGAGGCATGATAGCACTTTCAGTTATTTTCTTTGTATTTTTTTTTATCAGTCCGTGTTCTCAGGGCCAAAGAGGTGTTCGTGAATCTCATCTTGAGCCGGGATGCTGTCCATGTTGCTGACTTTGACTCTCTGGGTAACAGGCATATATCTGGGCATGAGCTTTTTCCCACTCTGAAAGAAAATCCCGAAAGGGTGCAACTGAATCAGTTTCTTTAAAAGTTGTAAGTCAGAAAAACTAAACTGGAGAATAGTGTCAATGGAAAAAGACCCACGATTTTCTTGGAGTCAGCCAGCGATCTCTCCGAGTACCTCCTCATCCTTTCTTTCTGTTTTTCTCTCTGCTCTCTCAGCTTGTCTTCACGCTCCCTGCAACATGTTGTAGAGAGAGTGGGAGGGTGTTTATATAACACTGCACTGTAATTTCTGCTAAGACTGGAAATAATACATTCAAGAAGAAAAAAACAAACAAAAGCTAGTTTCTAATCAAGAGCCTTTACCCATAGAGTTTCTTACCCATAGAGCCTCACAGTTCTGCAGCTGTTACTGAAAATATTTCAAGATGTTTTTTTACAGGTGAAAAATTCAATAGCCAAGTGGGCTGAGGGTGGAGCATTGAGCCACTGAGGCACACAGTACCTGGTCCTCCTCTCGCTGTCCTTGATCTTCTTCATTAACTCCAGTTTTTCTTCAGGGATGCTCTCAAGGCTCTGCAGTAGTAAAGACAGCCGCTTCTCAATGTTGGTCAGCTTCTCCAAAGTGTTTAGTTTGGTCATCCTGTCATCCACGCAGCTGCGGTGCACCTCTGCCACCTTCTCGCTCAGAGCATCCAGTAACACATCCTGTGGGTAAGCGAAGTGATTACAAGGCCCTGTAAAAGTCACCAAGTGCAGCTTGGTGCAGCGGTGTATTCTGTGTTACCTGGTCCTGTGTATTTAGGGACACGTGGAGAAGGACCTTCCTCTCAAGCCTGGCTCCTCTCGCCTTCTCCTTCTCGATTCTCTCCTTCATTTCATTTATCTGCATTGTAATTTGTTTTTCATCCTTTTCACTTGACAGAAAGAAAGCAGCAATGAGAAAAGAGGGGAGCTGGAATAACCAGAAAACAGTAAAACCCTGAGTGTTATAAGAGCTCTGAAGCTGCAAGCAAAAAGAGATTTAGCCACTGCGTAATGTAACCGAGCCATGTGACATGCTTACTGATTCTTCTTGGTTGTTTTCAAGGACTGTTGGAGCTGCTCCAGAGTCTCCTCCACCCTCGTAGAGTTCTGAATCAGGGACAGGTTCTGCTCCGTCAGCTCTGTCATCAGATCCAGCAGCTGCTGGGGATCAGTGAAATACAGCTCTGGCTCATCCTACAGAGAGGTGGGTAAGACACACCACTGTCAGTACTGGGAAGAAATATTCAAGCTGCTCCTTTAGTTATCGTAAGATAGGATCGTGAAAAACTGACCTCATAATCTGAGCTGTCACTGTCCAATTTAGGATCTATGACTCTGCAATGTAAGAGTTTTACACCTGTGAGAGAAGTTACAGCAACACTGGAGAGGATTTTAAATGTGATCTTATAGTTTTTCTTTCTTTTTGCGGTTGTTGTTTGAAATACAAAACCTCTTTCTGGCAGAATTGTTGCAACTGTGCTCATGTAGCTCATTTATTGTTGCCAGTCACTGCTGGTCTTTTATTTTCACGTTTTTTCTGTACAGGTTGTGAAGGCTTACAACAAGGGTGGGTTGTTTCAGACAGAGGGTGAATTGAGGGTGCTCCTAAGTGCTTAACTACCACATTCAGCACTACATCAAAACTATGACACAAACAGTGGATGTGCAGAAATATCAAACAAAGCCATGAGTGAAACGAGAGTGCGGGTGCTCCCTTACAGACTGTCACTGTGGGCTGGGGACAGCCTGGTCTCCTGGATGGATGTCAGCTGTCTGCCTGGAGTCTCCAAACCTGCACGTGCAAAGAATCATTTAAGTCAACTGCAGGACATTAAGCAGAGTACCGCCATGCTGGTCTCTGTTGCCTATTTTATGGTGATTTACTGGGCATTACTTGCCATTCCTAATAGCAGTGTCTTTAAGCTCCCTGTTCTGGTCCTCCTTGGTGCCTTTACAAGAAATAACATTTGACCTCTGGGCTTCCTGCCACTCTGGAGGAGACAGCTTGAATAGAAGGTCCTTATAATTCTTGTAGTCTACCAGGATTTCTTCAAACCTGGCAAGTTCACTGTGCAGAAGAAAGACTACATTAAAATCTACACAACATAAAAACTGTATCTTCAAGGGAAACCACCTTTAGCGCCTCTGAGTTCACCTTCTGGATAAACATGCTGACGGACTGAGACAAGGGTGATGCCCACACACATTAGATTTTTTCAAGATGATCTGAATGCTACCTTTTTATGGTGAGTATTTCAGCAGTTAGCCTCCTGATTTCATTGTTCTTCTCCTGTGTTGACCTGGCCTCCTGTTCATACCTGGCAGCAGAGACAAACACAACTATTTGCAAAGGAACCTTTTAATCATCAGGCAAATGTTGTACAGGTACGGAAATAAGCGTGTTCAGGATTTTTTGCATATTTTTTTTGCATACTCTTGCAGATTGTTCTTTATTCTCCTTCTATGAGCTGAGAAACAACAACCAAACATTCCAATTATAAAAAAAAATACTTATTTTAAAATCTATGAGTACTGCTGGTATAAACATCGACATCAGTCAGCATGATTTATGTCGATCGCCATCAAAATCAGGCGACAGTACACAGTGGTGCATCCCTAAAACACTATTTTATGAAAATGTGATTTTAAATTGAATTTACAGAGACGCTAACAGGACAGCCACTGTTTAATCCTTACATTGTTCTGGCCTCCACAGACTTCTTCTCATTCTCCCTAAGAAACTCTTCAAATCTGATGTTGTCTCTCTCAATGCTCCGCTCCAGGTGTTTCAGCAACTTCTCTTCTTTTGCTATGGCCTCGTCCATTCTCAAAATCTCAGACCTCTTTGTCATCACGGATAACTGAGGAAAGGAGGACGAGAAGAAGATGAAGTCAGACTTCTATAATCTTACATGATGCATATTATTGTAATAGTAATTAATAATAATTTCCCTATCTGTCTGTCTATCTGAGATGACTTTAGTAAGAGAACAGAAGTGGATCGTTAATTTAAACAGCAGTCATCTGCTTGATCTAACTCCTGGGGAACATTCAAAAGCATATACACAGAAGAAGATACACATATTTATTACATACATTTTATGCATATACACATACTCAATAGGATTTTATACATACATGTATAATTAAGCGCAGCTGAAGCCCTTCTGGTTAGACCAAACCCTACAGTTTACCTTGTCTAAGATGGTAAAAAGCCTGTGTTCAATTCTATTGTCATAATTTTCATAACTCAGGCTGAAAACATTAAAAGCTGGTGGCGCTGAGTTTAAATGATGTGAACATTCACTAGGTGAGTTTAGAACAGTAGGCCTGACCCAAAATGAAGACTTAAAGAGGATTTATTAACCTTTTCTGCATTAACTTGACTTTATCTCATTCAGCTGGATCTATAATGCTACATCAGAGGAAAAGTTTTTATTTAACTAGAACAACCTGTTTTAGTTCACTAGCTGAGTTTGGATGATAGTTATCCTCCATTAATACTAGACAGAGCGCTGATGCAAAAAACATGACAGCATATTAGCAACTGTTGAAATCATTTACCTCCAACACAGCTTTCTGTCGTTCCAGGGAGATTAAGGCATGCTTGTTGTCTTTTGTTACTTTTTCTGGGGACAGAGG